GAAGCAGAAGAGATTAAGAAGAGATGGCTAGAAGACACAGAAGAACTATACAAAAAAGGTCTTAATGACCTGGGTAACCATGATGCTGTGGTCAGTCACCTAGAGCCAGACATCCTGAAGTGTGAAGTCAGGTCTTAGGAAGCATTACTATGAACAAAGCTAGTGAAGGTGATGAAATTCTAGTTGAGCTTTTTAAAATCCTAGAATACTGATATTAAGAGAAGAGGTAGTTGTGCCTAATGTGAGTGGTTCCAGATTTGAAGGAGTGGTTCTTCAGAATAGGTGAAGTCTCCAGGACCATCATGAGACGTGTATGCTATGAGAACCTTGTGTACTAGGAAGAACCACAAGCTTTGAAGTCGTCTGGGACTCCTATCCTGGTTCTGTCACTCTGAGCAAGTGAATTGACTCTTTTGACCCTTAGTTTCCTTATCTGTAAAATGGAGATCAGATTTCTTCATTGAGGATTATCTGGCCCATATTAACAGAAAGGAACTATAAGTTCTCCTTCCAAATGTCATTTCTTGGTAATGTATGGAAAATCTTACTGTTCTCACTGGATTTTTCTTAGGCCCACAGTTCTGGAGTGACTAACCTGAACTAAAAGGACTACCTTGACATAGCTAGTCTTTGATTCTGGGCTCGGTATTTTCAGGTTTGCTGGATCTGGCTAGGTTCCCATCAGGTGTTTTTTAGTCCAATTCTCGATTTCATGTTACTCCAGTTTATTCTAATTTTGCCACTACTTGCTTTGGATCTGCTCTGATTTTTGCCCTAGAATGGAATTCTAGGATCCTTAATGATAAGAAGTTCTTAGTGGCAGAGCCATTTTTCTTTATCAGAAGCAGTAATTTTATTCAGTCAGAGGACTGCAAAGGTGAAGATTCTGTCCACAAATATTTACTAAGCACTTACCCTGTACCAGGCATGGTTCTGGGAGCTAGAAATACAGCAATGAATAAAATAGGTCTTTATGCACATGAAGATTGTATTGTGGGGCAGAGACAGGAGGGCAGCATGACAGACTATATAGAGAAACAATTCCCTGGACACGACTGTTTATTTACAGTGATAAAATCCTATGAGAAAACAAAACTGAGTAATATGCATAACATAGTATGTGTGTGAGATTGAAGGGGCAACTTGAGATTTGTGGTTAGAGAAGGCTTCTCTGAGGTGGTGATGTTTGAATTTACAATTTATGATTCTTATTCACATCCCTTCCACCATTCCCCCCACCCAGCTTCCAATTTGCCCATCAAGTGACTGTCACATTACTTGGTGAAAGATTGGACAGCAGGAGTTGTGAGTGATAGTAACTTGCAGAGTTTTTCTTTTTTTAATGAAGGTGTATGGATGTGGCTATGGTTGCTGACCTAAACAAATCTGATTAACCTTTCTCTCAGTCTTGCCAGGGGGGCCACAGAGTAGAATCTGTGCCTGGGTAGGAGCAGGTTCAATAGAGAGTTCTTTTTAGTTTTTAACTGAAAATATGAACATCAGGAGAAGCCTTCTGAGCTTATTCTAGAGGATCACAGAGTGAAATCTGCTAGATCAAGGTCCAGCTGTATTCTCACAGCATAATATATAGACAACAGTCTTTATGAACTGATGCTCAGAGCAAAGATTCAGAGGTGTGGTATGTGTGTGTTTGCCTTCACATGAGGGTGAGACAGAATGCTGTTAAGGGAGAAAAGAGATGAGAATAACTGGACATTATCTAGTTGAAACAAGAAAAATTTTGTATACTGCATGCTATACTTCCTAGTTTATTTTTTTGAAGATCACTGACTATAAAAATTAGTAAGGTAACACTAATTTTGATGTCAAAATATTATTAAGGTCATATACACAAATGATTTACATCGGAAGTCCCTGTAAATATATTAATATTGTAGAACAGACAGAGATAACCACAGTTTTACATTTTTCAGGACAACCCAAAATGGAATTTTTATTAGGGAAACACAGAAAGATGAAGCTCTGAAAGCAACTGTAGAAGACTGAAATGAAACATAATAATACTTGAATATCAAAGAAAAACAGTGATAGCTTAAAATAGGGTATATTTGTGAATATAGCAAATAACAATATTTCTTATGAAGGCAAAGGACATGTATGGTCATTTAATGAGCTTTCCTGGTAGCTCAGTCAGTAAACAATACTGCCTGCAGTGCAGGAGACTATGGTTCGATTCCTGGGTCAGGAAGATCCCCTGGAGAAGGAAATGGCAACTCCGGTGTTCTTGCCTGGAAAATCCTATGGATCAAGGAGCCTGGAGGGCTATAGTCCATGGGGTTACAAGAGTTGGACACGGCTTAGTGACTGAACCACCACCACCATGATCGTTTTAAATGTGGGTGCCCTTTTCCATCCTTCCTTTAGTCTGTGGATTATAAGGGCAATTCAGTTCAGTTGCTCAGTTGTGTCTGACTCTTTGTGACCCCATGGACTGCAGCACACCAGGCTTCCCTGTCCATCACCAACTCCCAGAGCTTACTCAAACTCATGTCTATTGAGTCGGTGATGCCATCCAACCATCTCATCCTCTGCTGTGCCCTTCTCCTCCTGCCTTCAATCTTTCCCAGCATCAGAGTCTTTTCAAATGAGTCAGTTCTTCACGTCAGGTGGCCAAAGGATTGGAGTTTCAGCTTCAGCATCAGTCCTTCCAATGACTATTCAGGACTGATCTCCTTTAGGATGGACTGGTTGGATCTCCTTGCAGTCCAAGGGATTCTCAAGGGTCTTCTCCAACACCATAGTTCAAAAGCATTAATTCTTCGGCGCTCAGCTTTCGTTATAGTCCAACTCTCACATCCATACATGGGTTATAACATGGGTTATAACAGCAGATCGGCTGAAAGGAAGCATTGAATTTTATCTCCTGTCTTTTTCATATGAGAAAAAAAGAAAAAATCCATTGCTTTTATTATGCAGTTCTCAGAATCTCACTAGAGGGTGGTGTTGATCTATAACCAGAGGTTGCTAATCTGGTACATTCATTAATAGGTTGCATTTATATTTAAAGAAAAGGTAAAATGAAGCCTTCTCAGTCTTCCCTAAAAGTTAGTAAATGTCAAGTCCGAAAACTCCCAAGGGCCTCATCCACTTCTGGCTTCTTGCAGCCCCAGAGGAGCCAGATAAAGTAGTGAAGAGATTACTGGAGGAGTTAAGTGGCAGATTCTAATTTCAGCTCCTGCTAACTAGTAGACAAGAAATTAAAGCTTTCTGGGCCTTCTCATTTGGGGGGAAAAAAAAGGCCTGTGCTAGATGATCTCTACATCTCCTTGTATCTCTGAAATTCTGATATGCTAACACATTCTGAGTCTAAAAGCTGCAGAATTTCTCCTGTTCTCGGTCAAAGGCACAAGTAACATCACAAATTATAAAATTATTAATAATTAAAAATAACAATGTTATACATGAGATTAACATAGATTCTAATATTAGAAAGTCTTTTAAATTAAAATATCAAATCTTACTAGGGAATCTCAGAGCCATCCTTTTTTCATCTATCTGAGAATTCTGTGGTTAATTTCTGTGCCTTAATGAATCATTCAAAGATATCTCTTGCTTCCTAACTTGCTGGAAATGAGCAAAATATGTTTACATAGGATTATCTAGAGAGAAGAAGTTGAACCATTCATTATCAAATGTTTTAGGATAGAGATTAAATTCCTTACCTCACCTTGCACTTAGCCAACATGCATCCCACATGCCTTTTCATACTGTTCATGGGGACGACAGAGGACGAGATGGTTGGGTGGCATCACTGACTCAATGGACATGAATTTGAGCAAGCTCCGCGAGATGGTGAAGGACAGGGAAGCTTGGTGTGCGGCAGTCCATGGGTCGCAAAGAGTTGGACACCTTTGAGCGACTGAACAACAACAAATCCTATATGTGCTTTGTGAGGAGTCTTTCTTTACAGGGATTTAGTTGCTTCTGTTTCCTATTACCCTCGTCTTATCTAATTCCCTTTCCTTGTCATATTTATTAGCAGTGCAGAGTGAACTGAAGATTTTTACATGGAACCTGAAGCAAAGTATCCAACAACAGGGTTCCAGTAAACCCTGGTTTATCTCTGCATGGACTTAACTTCTAAAGGTGAGAGTCTGCAGTTAACCCCTGATGGTTTGAAGTCACCCCAAAGGCACTGACATTAACACCCAACACCCCATTTCTTCTAAATTGCTTTGCTTTGTAAATGAAGGTTTCTTTTCCCCTCCCCTTTCCCCCACCCCCCGATTTTGCTGCATCTCCAGGGTCGTGTCGAACATCTAAACTTCTCAAAATGTACGCACACGCGAGCGTGCTCTCACACCCCACTCGAGTACACGAGCCCGGCTGGGCCGGCTCCCAGTTAGAGAACACATTCCATTCTTCGTGCTCGGGCACACCCCTTCGCAGAGGGGATTGGTCGGGCCGACCCCCCGTCGGCGAGGCGAGGCTCCTAAGAGGCCCAGACGCCTGCCAATCCCCACGGGCTGTCAAAACAAGTCTTCCCTCCCTGTCACAACAGAGCGGAGTGGAGGACGCCGCCGCCGCCGCACTTCCTGGGGCTGCTGCACCGCGGTCCCCGGGCAGGTGGCGGGTGCGTCGGGCAGCGGTCGCCGGGATCCAGCCCTTCTCAGGCCGCGCGCGTCCCGGCCTCTGCGGCCGCCCGGCCAGGCGCTCGGTGCCTTTTGTCTGGCGCAGAGCGGGCGTGTGCATCACATTTCGGACACCTCCCTCTCCTTGCCGTTTCTCCTCCCTCCTGTTCACATCTTCTCCGCCGTCCTCCCCCGCGGACTGCCGGCCTCCTGGACCAAAGCCCGCGGACGTCTCTACTCGAGCGATGCCTCCTCTCCAGAAAGTTGCCGCCGCCGCCGCCGCAACCGGGCGGTGAAACAAAGTCTGGCCGGGCCGCCTCCCGGTGCAAGAGCGCACCCGTGCCCAGCGGCTGCACTCCGCTGCCGGGCGTGCCGCCTACCCGCGAGGAGCCCGAACCGCGCTCGGCAATGGCCGAGGGCGCAGCCAGCAGGGAGGGTTCAGCGCCGCCTGACGCGGCCGGGAGCGAAGACGACCCCCGAGTGGGCCCGGATGCCATCTCCGGGGACTGCGTGGCGGCGGCCCCTGGGGGCCGGTGGAGGGACCGTCGCAGTGGGGTCACGCTGCCCGGAGCTGCGGGGCCCCCGGCCGACAGCGAGGCCGCCCTCCTGGAGGCTGCGCGGGCGACCCCTCGGCGCAGCAGCATCATCAAGGTAAGCGAGGCTGCGCGGCCGGGGAGCTAGGCTGGGGGTGGGCGGTGGGTGGGTCGGGGGGCTGGGGCAGGATGTACGGTGTCCGGAGGCATCGCAGGCTTAGCATTGTTTTCTCCAGTGTCCTTCATTACCAAACCTTCCTTCCTTGTCCGGAGGCTCCCAGACTGAGCTCTTGGCTGTGAGAAGCAGAAGTGACTTTTTTTTCCCCCCTCACCGCAGAGGAAAAGTTCCATTCTGCGTCTTTGCGTTTTGATGGATGCGTTCCTTCATTTTCCCTGAAAGTTTCTCTAAACCATTGATGTAAGGAAGAAGGCAGAACTCAATATAAATGCAGACCTGCGGGAAGGTTGTGCACTGCTCTCCAACAAAAAGTTAGCTTTCCCCGCACAGTTTACCCTCAAGTGGAAAAAAAACCAAAAACAAAGCATACAAATCTTCGAGGCTCAAACTGTCTTGAGATCTCATGAAGCGTGAACCTTCCTCGTAGGCAGGCTGTTTTCAGTGGACCCTGCGGCAAAGTAAGCAAAGTAAAGAGCGAAGGTGGAGCCTGGAGTTGTGCAGAGAGCATAACCGGAAAGCAGTAAATCCACCAAGCATCACCCCGGGCCCTCGTGGTTACCACCACATCCAGGAGAACGCTTCCCGACCCCTCAACTACCAGTCAGGGTTTCTGTCTATCCGTTTGGCTAGCCTCATCCCTCCTCTTGTCGCTTTCTGTCTTCCTTCCACTTGGGGCTTGCTTCCTGTTTGAGATTTCATCTTGGGTTCATGACATCAGGATAAGGTCTCCTGGAATTTAGAACCTTTCCACAGGCTTTGGAAGAGGGCCTTTTAGCATAAATGCGTGAGTACATAATCTTGAGGACATGACATCAAAATTGATCTTGGAAGAACAGTCAGGATGAAACTTCTTCCAAATAAAAATAAGCCAAAGATGAAAAGGATAGACTTGGAACTATCCATACTTCCTATTCAATGTGCTTGTGTTAATACCTTCGAAACCCTTGTTCAGGTGAAGCTGTGTGTACATCACACAAGACGTTTCTCTTTCTACAGCTCTAAATTGGAACTCCTAGTGCCAGTGTGGCTAGACTCTTCCCACAGTCCATCCAGCTAGCTCCAAGTATGGTCTAGGCTTTTCCCCAGTACTGACACATGGACGTTTGGAGCCAAACAGGGAGATTTCTATATTAAAAGAAGGGTGGGTGGTAGTTGCAAATGACTTGTAGTAGTTTCTGTTATTTTGTGACTTTTAGATTATGTGAAGAGGAGTGTTCTCTTCTGGGTATGAATTTGGAGAAAAAGGAAATGATCCCTGCCCCCACCCCCTTTAACCCATAAGTCAGAAAGCATGTTATTTTGAAACTTAAAAAAGCCCACTGTAGACAGTATACATTTTGGAGCCTAAGATGTAGACACTACATGTGTTGTGTGAAAACAATAGCCACAAGATAGTTTAACATATACCATCATAAAAAGCACTGGGCTTTTTTTGTTGTAAAAGAAATGAAAGTAACAGAGTGTAAGGAGTATATAAATTCTTGCTGCTAAATTGGTAAGTTTAAAATTTTAGTATGTGCTGGTTGATATTCTTGGAAGGGTCCTTGCTGAGTAATGGTGCCTGTTTAGGTTTGAAATTTCTTTTTGTGACAAAAAAGGAAGGAGGCAATGGAGTAGCAACTTAATCTTTTCCCGATTTAATAGTAAAATAAACATTTAATAACTGCCATTTAAAATTAAAGATACCAGAAGATGAAGTGAATTCTTCTTATCAGTTAACTATTGTTGAAAAATTATTAATATATGCATATGATAAAAACAAATGTTGCAAAGGAGTTTGAAGGGAAAACTCCCAGCCACTCCCCATTCCCACTTACAAAGTCCACCCCAATAGCTGTTAACATGTTCTTGTGTACCATTCCAGAAATATTCCATATATACACATATGTATCTGTATATATCTGTGGTGAACTACCAATGCTGCTGATTTATGTAATAAAATTTGGCTAGAGTTTTTACAGGGTTTATATATTCAGACTACGCCAGACATTTTGATGTCTGGAGAGTTGTCTAAGGTCATTGTGATGCATCTGTTAATCTTCAAGGATAACCTATAGGTCATTGGTCCTTGGAGTCTATTCCCAGAGGCCTCCTTATCTTCCAGTGGGGAAAGGGACAGGTGATGGGTATGGGTTCTGTTTCACTTCTCCTCTGCCATCAAGGACATCTCAGAATCTGTCACTCCATGGTTTGTTCACTTTAGCGCAATAAAAATGAGTTTCTAAAAAAGGTCTAGATCATAAGAAGTAAGTAGTACATGCTTCTCTGTTGAGAAAAGATTGCTTTCTTTGTTGTTTTTCCAAGAGTTATTTTTATTTGGCATTGAAACATACACAAAAAGAAAGGCTTTAGTACATTTTATATTAATCAAACTATTAAATGCTGTTCCAGATAGCCTTAGTACAGTGATAATTGATATTCATGGTCATAACTCTGAGCCACTGAAAGATTGTGAATCATCAAATATCAAATTCTTTTCAGCTCAGTTTAGGGTATTGTTTCTATTCTAATTTGACTGCTGATTCTCTGTAAACTTGAATGTTAGATAAATCAGAATACTGCATTCCTTTATCATGCCAGAAAACAGACTGTCTTGTATATTAATAGAAGGAATGTTTTCAGTAAATTTGCCCTCCCTAATTTGTGAAAACATGTGTTTAGTTGAGAAAACAATTTCCTTCTGAGCTGATGAAAACAATAACATTTATCTTGACACATTTTTTTGAAAATTTTTCTGCTGTAATTGCATTTTTTCCCTTAAATGCCCAGTCCTAAGTTTTGAAAAATTTAATGTGAGAGTTAAGCTATGTTCTCTTTAACCTGTCCATTTTCCCCTCTGTTTTTCTGTGTAGTTTTTTTTACAGCGTTGACGTTGATAAATGTTGCATGTTTTTTGGTAAGCGTATTGTTGTATACCGCAATATTCCATAAACTCCATCTTAATTGCTTCTTTATGACTTGTGGTTTAAAATGACAAGTATAGTTACTTGCGGGGTTGAGAATATCTAGTAATTAGGTACTGTTGTACTTTCAAATATACTTCTACCTAGGAAATTAGACCAATTAACTATCTGGTATTTGATATAAAATTTATTTATTTAAAATATTTAGCATTCTAGATTGTAGTTTATCACTATTACTCTATAACAGAAAATTTGGGAAATAGAAAGCAGTGTAGCTTGCTCCCTATACTATTGGGTTCGCCAAAAAGTTCATTTGGGTTTGTCCATAAGCTGTAGCAAAAAATCTGAACAAACTTCTGGCCACCGAATAGATGATGGGAATTGAGGTACATACGTGTTTTAAAAATAGCATATATTTAAAGCAAGACTTTTAAAATAAGTCTCTCAATAGTTGAGAGACTTCCCTGGTGGGAGACTGGACCCTGGTGTGGTCCAGTGGTGAAGACTCCACATTTCCAATTCAGGCGGCTTGTGTTGGATCTCTGGTCAGGGAACTAAGATCTCACAGACTGCAAAGCCAAGGAAAAAAAAAAAGCAAATGATTTATCTCCCGTTATATGTAATGTATTGAAGAGTCCTACTTTTTTCCATTTCCTTTTGCTTCTGCTTCAGTGTGAACTCTTGAGAAGAAATTATCACTTGGATCCCACGGGCATAAGTGTATGGGTTGAAGACAGAAGTTGGAAATAAGGTGCTGAGATGTTCACTGAAGCAGCTAAAGTAGTGACTTCCATGTTGCTCGTGTCTCTTATATCATGGCCAGTCTTATTCTGTCATGCTCATTGTGATCGTGGGGCTGATGTAGGGGGTTTCTGAGCGCAGCCTCCTGGGGTACCTGCTGACCCATATCAAAATTATGGCTCTTCTCAGAGGAGCACGGGATGTGAGTCAGGAACTAAACTAGGAGCTTTCATACATTATAATCACTTAATCCCCACAGCAAACTCTCTGAAGTAGAGAAGGGAGGCATGGAGAACTCCTGACACAATGTGGAGCCAGGATTCATACCCATGTCTGAAAACTTGTGGTTTTATGCTGATTCTCAGATGCAGAGAGAGCCACGATCTGTGAACACATTTTAGGTTAGAAGTAACGTGAACATCTAAGAAAGTGGCAGATTCCTGGGCTCCAAAGTTTGTGGGTGAACTCTCGTTTCTCTGCTTGGTAAACTCTCGTTTCTCTGCTTCACCTCTCCAAATCAGAAAAACTTGAAATGGATGACTCTAGAAAGCTTCCTTTGTGGCTCAGCTAGTAAAGAGTCCGCCTGCAATGCAGGGGACCTGGGTTCAATCCCTGGGTTGGGAAGATCCTCTGGAGAAGGGAAAGGCTACCCACTCCAGTATTCTGGCCTAGAGAATTCCATGGACAGTCCATGGGGTTGCAAAGAGTTGGATATGACTGAGCAACTTTCAGTTCAGTTCAGTCAGAAAGATTGCAGACGCTTTTGTCTTTGGTCATTTTGTTAGGCCTGCACTGTAGTTTGAAAGGCAGAGAAGCTTGGCAGATGTTCTACTTGTTGTCAGTATATGAAGGTCACACCTGTTCTTTTATGCCTGACCCATTTCTCCCCTTCTCACGCAGCAGTTGAGTTTGTGAAGGATTGTATTCTCTTTTAGACTCATTATGGGACATAGTAAAAGTGAAAGTGAAAGTCATTCAGTTGTGTCAGACTCTTTGCGACCCCATGGACTATACCATCCATGGAATTCTCCAGGCCAGAATACTGAGGTGGGTACCCGTTCCCTTCTGCAGGGGATCTTCCCAACCCAGGGATCAAACCCAGATCTCCCGCATTGTGGGCAGATTCTTTACCAGTTGAGCCACAAGGTAAGCCCAACAATACTGGAGTGGGTAGCCTATCTCTTCTCCAGAGGATCTTCCTGACCCAGGAATTGAACCAGAGTCTCCTGCATTGCATGCGGATTCTTTACCAACTGAGCTATCAGGGAAGCCCAGGCTATATGGGGCATAGGAGTA